AATATGGTTGAAACTTGCCATAAGCACCTCAAATTGCTGAATACTTACCAAACTGACGTTGTTTCATAATTTACTTAAACTATTTATTATAAATGAGGTGAAGGTGAGTCCGTGTCGTTGGCGCTAATGGAATGCGATAGCAACCAGAACCTCAAATACCGTCCTTCTACTATGGGAGATATAAAGGAGTCATCGTCAAAACCTGTACACTTCAGTTTAATTCACAGATCCAAATAGCACGCGATGAAGTTTTCAATTTCGAGGGAACTGAACCATTTTTCCTTTAACTGGCGGAATGTGTGTAACATTTACTGAAGTTTGAAGTATCAGAGAAGTAATCCCTTTTTCCTTCACTATGTTAGCAGCCGGGAAGAACAAACTGCTCTTACACTTTTGTCAGCATACAGAATTCAGATAATAATCCCAAAACCATTATATCAGGCAACAGACAATACTGGCTAAAAGATCAATATAGTGGTTGGTTGTATTTTTGACAAGCACCAGCTGCTGCCAATCACGTCACTCTAACTAGGCAATGTGATATGCCTGCAATATTTTGTCTGCAAGTATCAAAAGAATTTATGGATAGCTCTTGTTGCATTGTTGCAGTACTAACGGCGTTAAGTAATAGAGTAAACAGCTAACTGCTCGATTGGATGTTAGGATGTAATTATCGAACTACTCAGCTACATGAAACTGTAATACTGGTCGACAAATTGAGAGGACAGAGCTCAAGAGAGCGAACCGATAGATGAAATGATTACTGATAGACGGACATTTTTTGACTTTTCAGAATTGGCAACAAAAATGTTTGACAGAACATTTCAAATAGTTGAACTGGTTAGTGCATAATTCCACTGCAGTTGCTCAACATCTTAATCCACCTCAAACGAGACGTATACACTCGTTGTCCAACTCCAATTTTAGTTGCAAACAGACATGATTCAATTTCGGAAGCGATAACGAGTAGTGAACCAAACTTATTGACAGCATTAACTACGGTTTAAATGGACTATGAGATTCCGAGATATTTACAGTAAACTGGTTTAGATCACTGATAATCACCTATTAAAAAAAGGGATCAGCCTTTCCTTAATACTAATAGGGGAGTGAACTTGACAGAAACTGTTTAATATTTTAGGATCTTTAGTTATATATATGCTAAATGAGGGATAAGGGAAAACAAGCTCGACAGAACCAGACGGCTTTTAGTCCGGGGTGAGGGCACATTCATTGAACCGCCAACCTTAGAATATGAAGTATATACATACGAGTGACTGGCACTTATCATATTTCTTCATTTGATAGTGTAATTCAGTCAATTGATCAAGAGGAATCGTAACAAAGCATTGCTATGAATTACCTAGAAAGTATATTAATCGAATCAGAGTTCAAAAACAAAAAAATCTTAAGCAGATGCATACGACTCAACAACCCTAATGAAGTTGATAAGCGGTGTCTATTAGACACGTCCAAAAACACCACCCTCTTTTGATTTCGCTTTAGACGAGCTGACTGGAGTCAGATTGTTTGACCTTTGAGTCTGGAAAACCTATGTTGTACAATAAGATCTTGATTTTGCGTAGGCAGGTGTAACGCTTTTATTTGAAGACACTGAAAATGCAATCTTTTGGTTACTAGGAAATTACATCTTAGTGGGTTAGACACAAGCACAGTCTATGTCACAAGCAGAGGAAGGATCTAGGATGACTACTAATTTAAGGATATCTTTACCACTTAACTTGTTCGAAAAGACGCATTAGCCCCAACGGATTGATAAGTGAACTCTCAGTACCGACACAAAACGCATTTCTAGAATTCGATAAGTTGCAACACCTTAGACGCCATCGACATATTCAGCTACCTGTAGGCGGGCGCTATTCACTTTGCCTTACATCACGATGAGAAATGGACGCTAAAAGTACGGGTTAAAATAACATTACAAGTTTTAGGCTAAAGATAAGCTGCCTATGTCAGATGAAATAATATTGTAACTAGCGTTGAAATACGAAGCAGAACGTTGCATAGACAAAACTTTGGAGAAATTGTGAAGTTACCGTTTCCTGAGTTAACGCTACTTCTCCCACAAATTAGCAAAAAAAAATCTTTGTTGCATTTTCTCAGCCGTACTTAAAAATTGTTGAAAAGCTTAAAAACGAAATAATTTGTGTCTACGCTTAGCCTCCTTCATATTACGTACTGAAAAAAATATCTCAAATTATTATAAGTCTACAATTTCAGAAGTGAAAACAACATACCTTTGGAACGTTTAGTGGTGGAAGCAAATTCTGGAACATATCAACTACCAAACGTAGATGAGGTAATGGAGCTGAGGTATTTGCATTGACACCTCCCATTCCAAACCCTGTCATTACTAATAGCGGTGGAGTACTATACTGACGACAGTCAAAAATTCGACGAACTAAAGTTAGTACATCTCTTTTCAAACTGTATTCAGAAACACGAAAAGTGAGACTGGGTCCGTGAGGTACACGAATCATGTGTAAGTAGACACCACCACCACCCACGTCGCTACTACCACTGTCACCGGCTGCCATATTAACAGAAGCTATACCTGACAAAACAAACATGAAAAAGAGGAAAATAAGAATAATTACTGATATCAAAAAAAAAACAAGAATTGTTGCCAATTGAAGATTGACCATAAAAGAAACAACGGAAGGACACATGAAGCATCGAATGAGAAGTGATGTCACAAATGCGAAAATCTGTGTTAAGCTTTTGATTAATTTCAAATGGAATTTCTTTACAAACTGAAGAGCACTCAAATGGTTGTTTTTCGAATTAGCAGAAGTTGGTAAACATTGGACCAACAGTAATGTGCCTGTCTTACAATCGGATGTCCCGTAGTGGTCTTAACGATAAAAACAGCTGTACTTTGTTTCTCACAGATTGTACATCCGAATGAAGTAGTGGGTGTTATAAGTTCGTGCAGTCTCAACTATGTTGTTTTATACTTGCTCTGCTGAACTAATTTAGTGATCATTATGATTTTAGACGGTATACCGGTGACATCAACCAAGCATAAAATGAGTCATTCCTCCAAAAATGGACCTATTTCAAATGAATAGTGGTCTATAAGTTTAAAGAAAGTGAGAAAAAAGCAATAAACTAACTTTTCTCATCTGTATTCATGTTCCGATCATTATTATCATCAGTTAGTTGTTTTGAAGCAACCTTGGTTAACCGACGAGTACGCTTCTGTTTGCGTTTGTCCTCTTGTGGATGGGTTAAATACATCAAATGTGTAACGTTCAATGGACCAGCTATAGTAATGAAATCTTTGAGAACATTTTGACGAGTTACACGCAGACGACTTGCCGTGAACGGTTCAAAGATCTCTCTAAAGTCCAGTGCCAACTGTTTAACTAAGCTGCCAACACCTGGTCTTGAGAAAATCATTGTATGTGGGGTCTTTGTATATAACTTTTCTTGTAAGGCAAGCGATGCAGCACGAGCCTTCCTCACTGACTTTGGGCGCTTTTTATGTACCATTCTTGATTTCTGTTTACTAAAATTACATAATAGTGATCATATAAAAATTTTAATAGAGCAAACGAAGCATATATTTCAAACTTCACATGTATAAAACGACGCATAAAATACCAGCGAACTTTTCCAGTATTCGATAAAACTAGCATGCGTCAAAGTCTAGCTACATATAACCACAGTGAAAGAAAATTTCAGTGCTGTGTAGGAAGTACAATTTAACCAATTCACCAAGCCACAGTAATAAATATGTAGGGAAACAGAAAAAAACGACAAGTGAAATCTGCAACCTGTATAGAAATAAGTCATCGATTATTTCACAATGTAGCATGAGACTGTTGTGTAACTGATTGAAAATCCAAAATTCAGACATAAATCACATATTAGGGGTTAGAACTCTCCCAGTGTCCATCATAATATGACATCAAAATCAGACAGTAAAACAGGGCACACTTATCATTTGCATCTAAGGGTGCAGATGAATTGTTTAGTATTCTCCAACCTTCGATATACAACCTTCATGATGTACAATGTATCTAATTAGTTTGTACATTATTATTACTACTATTATTATTATTAGTAGTAGTAGTAGTAGTAATATTAGTATCAGTATTTAACAATCAAATAATGTACAAATGACTATCTAGACATTGTGACAGAACGCCTACATGACAGTGAAATTCTATTGTGCTCTTAACAAGTGATATTTACTCAGAGTTGGTCATCCGTTAGTCTGAAATACCTCTGTTGGTAAGAGAACTAGTTCTGCATGCATTTACGCATCACTTAATAAAATTATGAGGAGAAATCAGCTCTTCCAGATACGTACACCTTCCTGACAACTACAAAACATCTAGGTGTGAGGCTTTCTAGCAACCGCCTCTAATCTGTTTGTCTGGATTCAACATAGAACTTGGCACCGAAGTGCAGCAGTTCGAGTTGCCACGTTCCAAATACCACACAGAGGTAGACAAAAAGATGAGTGAAGAGAATCAATAGAGTCTGACAAGTATAAGAGTGAAACAGAATGGGTAATGGTAGAAAGGAATATGAAAGATTACAGAGACTGAATACACCTGCGCCATTGACAACGATTTTGAGCCATGTCACCTATTGTTTCCAGTCATTGATTCCTAGAGTCTCGAGGGCCGAAACCCAGAAGTTTGCATCTCCCTACCGGACTCAGTTGAACTGTCAAGGATTTCATGGATTGATGCCATGTTTTTGTTTGGCCTCTAATCACCTAATATTAGTTATGACTCTGTATTAGGTGGCGAGATATCTGAATTTAATATGATCATGAAGAAAGTTCAACTAAGCTTTATAAAATAATCAATTGTTGTTAAATGTCACATTAACCTATACATAGTTGTAACTGCTAACCTTGTTCACCTGAGTTTATAGAGTTTAACGCTAAATCTACTGATCAACTGAATGGCTATTTACAAATAATTATTTTTCACATCATTCAAATAAAAACGAAAAATTTATATGATATAATTTCTTATTCAGTTAACAATATGAACACTAACACACACACACACTGTTATTAAGGCACATGTGGTAGTGTGTGGGAAAACAAAGTCAAAAGAAGAATTGAAAAGTATGTCCCAGGGAGAACAAAACAATAACCAGGTAAGAAAACTAATAATATGGTCCGCTAAGGGAAATATCTCTTGAATAATGCTTTCCACACACACACGCACACACGCAGACGGACAGGCATGCAGACAAAGGGAGGTAACCAAATCACATCAAGGTGTACAAAAAGTAGTAGTAATAGTAGTGATAAGAGCCCAAACAGGGATCAAGAGATCCATGGGGAAATAAAGAAACCATGCAGGAAATTCAAATAACTAATGAAATATATATTAGATGAATTCTGAAGCAGAAAGACTGAACGGTCGGTGCATTTCAGATGAAACGCCCAGGATGTCGATCGAGAATAAAATGTTTCATTGTTTAGCAGAATGAGCTCCTTCAACGTGGGTCGGCAAGTCGTCTCGTAAACAAACCTAACCAAAAAAAACAGGAAACTATTATGAGGAGTGTTAAACGAACAGACAGAAAAAAAGTCTTCCAAAATAACAATAACAGTAACAATAATAATGGTGAAAATGAAGCAAGAGATGGAAACACCATATTACCTATGGTTTGTAAAACTATTTCAAATAGACCTCAGTTATTAGTGCGTCACCGTATCGCTGGGTTCAACAAATGAAAAGACTAGCGATTTTTGTCTAGAGGTGGTGATTAAATCTCTCGTGTTGGCTAGTGTAATACGCTCAGGGATAATGAGGTTAGACATACGTTAGGTAAGAAAGAAACGTCGTAAAGTTACATCGATTCATACGTAGTTTGCACATAACGACAGTCACTCTGGGTGAGTAATGCTATACGAAGGTCAGAAGAAAACCTGGTACTAATCTATGAAGCCTCTGACTGCTGGTTTCAGTCACAATGGAAGGTTTTGAATGACTTGGTGGCGTCCACAGGTTGGTAAGAATCAACTGTTTGAGATTACCGGTGGTTGTTTACAACGTTTTATACGCATTTGCCCCTTCATATTATACAAATACTAAAAAATCTTTGCTAATTTTCACCTGAGTATTCTCTCATATATTTTTTCATCTATTTCAGTTTCATAATGTCAGGAAAGTTTCACGGGCTTATGGAAACGTAAGGATGGTTATTATCTCCCGGCTGCTCACACCATGTAAGTTGGTTTCGTCTTGTTGTGCCTAAAAACAAGCAGAATTACTGTAGCACAACTGGAGAACTCGCAGCGTTAATGGTTGAGATTGGTTATACGCAGTGTGCTTGAAGTTAGTTTTTGAACTGTCGTCTGTATTAAGATCTTACCACCAGGTACATAAAGCAGCGAGCTAAGACAGAGCAAACAATTTTCGGGATCGCCTCTCTTCAGTAGAGCAGAGGCAGCATAGCTGACATGCTGGTTTTCTGCGGGAGACAGATTACTTGTGTTACATCCCTATTTGGCATCAGTACGACTTCGTACGCAGACCCTCCCCCACCCAACATAGTGTGAACAACTTGCAGCATGATGGTTTTAACTGCTTTTAGTCTAACCGCTATCCAAACGGTCTTTTTAGTATGGTGGGAACCGCGGGAAGAGTGTTGCTCGTTGGGTCATTACGATAAAAAAGCCCAACCACCACTTTAGGTTAGCAGCTATCCATCATGCAGTTCCGCTACTTTTATGTGCAGTCCTCCAAAGTGTGACAACTTGAGTCAATGCATTTTTGTGCAGCGGCCGAAGTCAATAAGTCAGACAGACAAAATGTCCACCTTATTTAAAGATAAAATGTATATTTTATTGCTTTTCAGTGAATATTTGAACTATTAGCCGAAGAATCCAAATTGTTGATAACTTGATCTTTGCAGAAAAGATGAGGCGCTATACTATACATACATAAGCTGCTTCCCTGGGAGAGTATTTCTCACTTCTTTTATCATCTTATCCTAGACGAATGATTGGACTTTTTGTAGTGAATGTCTTTGATGTTTAGGAAAACATCTTAAATTACAGATTGCCTTTCGATGATGAACTTGAAGACTGGTACACATACACATTTGTGCAAACTATCAGGAAATTTGTAAACCTTACAAATATACACACACATACATATATACATATCACAGCTTAAATGGAGTCTAGTGATGTGTAAACTTTAAATGATTCCCATTATCCCTGAAACACTTGACCAGTTTAGTGGACACATTAACTTTTGTTTCATTTTGGTACATTGGTTACAAAAAGTAGCTAATTACCTATAGTGATTTTCAACATCAACTGTATGTAATTTACACTTTTTCTAAGGTACACCATTCTTATATGTAATAATCTCATTTCAAAAAATCACTTCACCAGAATAACTTCTACCAAAACAAAAAAACGTGGATATTAAAACCCACCTGACCACATTCCTGACATGCTTGTAGTCTTTTCAAGACCTTTTTAGCCCAAGAAGGTGGAGTGAATATAGGAGTCTTATTACGCTTAACATGCATACCACACTTTACTAAAGCCTCTTGCATATCAACTGGAATACGTGGTGAACCTTGTGCTTGGAGAGCACGAAGTAACGCACGTTGAAGACCTATATCTGGCAGTAAAGAAATCATTGGGGCTATCCAGAATGGAACATCTAAAACACAATAGAAAATGCTGTTGTTGAATTTGTGATTAATAATAAGTTTATGAAATCCGTGCATAGATAACAACATGAAATAAATAGCCATATTCACTTGTCTATGGCAGTTGGTTTGAGTAATGTAGGTAAAAGTGGACTACCTGTTTGAGTTATCCTAGATGCTAAGATTAAAACTTTAGAACACATGACTCAAAACTGTCTACTATTTATCACTGAGCTTTCAAACAGTTTTATTCATCTTCATTTTACTCTTATCTTACACAATCACGCTTTTCATTACAGTGTGGCAATTTAAATATCCATACAAAATCTCTCGTACTCTTCTAGTTCGTAAATTTGTAACGACAAAAGACAAGAGTATTGGTAAGGGAATGTTTATTTGGAATTCCGTATCTATATACATAGCGAAATTATCTGATCTTCAAATCAACATTTGCACAGATCTTCCTTGTTGTGCTACTTCTGGTCTTCATATTGTGTTTCTTTCACATCTCCGATGTATGTCCGCAACGCTGTATCATTTGCTTTCTCTGAGATCAAATCTATCACCCTGATCTTCGATGTGTTTATGCTGACAAAACATCTCTTTATATGTATATATACTACTGATAAATCTTATCAGTAGCACATGCCACGAAGTCACATTGTGGGTGAATACATATTAGCCAGGCATACAAGCAGTTTCGAAAACTCTGCGTGATGCCGACAACCGATATTGAACATAAAAAAAATCCACAGTATGTATATGAGAGCAGCTCACAATGACGTTGTTGAGGTGCCCTCAATGGTAAATGTTAGCAAATTTCACAAAATTTATTGCATATGATTAGTGCAAAGGTTTACGAGGTGGTAGATGTAAAAGAACCAAAATATTGCTTCAACTGAAACATACTGGACAATGGTAAAGAAGTCTACTCGCTGCATGTCGAGGTGATCTTAACAGGCTGACTTGTGACTTCCACTGTACAATCTTCCGTTCAGTAAATACACCACGTATATCACAAAAATCCCGAGAACAATGAATAGAAGATTTTAATGACTGAAATTGACCTTAGTTACTTTAAGTGAACAGAAAAAACAGTAACTGCAGCATGCAACAGATATTTTCTTTCTTAGTGAATATAAGATATGTACCCGTTTGAGTTAAGGTGTGCTCATTTTGTCTATCTGTTGACAACCTGATGTTAGGTATTCTTACTATACACCTTATCTGAGTCGCAACAACTCTACTTTCATCTTCAGGAAAACGTCATATTAACAAAATTGCACTTCGCAAAAGTCTGTAATAAACTAAGGACATTCCTAAATAAAACTACTACGAAAGCAATGGATAAATCAGCTCACTTTCGTCTTTATCACCATCACTTGGGTTGGCTTTTCCAACGCCCAAAAGACCAACTAAACCTTCTAAGTATGCTGTTGCATTTATCTCTTTGTAACGATAGCGACGTGATAGGTCAGCGAATCGACTAAATGCAGTTCGACCATTTTTATCAAACAAATCCGTTTCCACTGTTCGGATTAACTCAAGATTGCGTGATTCAACATCAGGTGGCGGGAAATATTCAGCCTTGGATACATAAAAATAGAAAATGCACGCAAAGGGTTACAAATAATTAACCATTGAGTAAATGGAATGAATTTGGCAAGATTTTGTCCACACAATATTGTTTATCAGTACACTATATTCACAGAAAATAAAAGTGTTCGGAAATAATTGTCTGTTATGCTATGAGACAGTTTTAGTATAAGTAGATAATAGTATGCGAGGGTAGTGCTTCAAGTTTGAAAAAAAACCTCAAACGCGATGCAACTTCACGAAAGCAGCCGATAATCACTTTTCTAATCCAGTATCAACTGAGACAAGAAAGTCGTCTACTGAAAACATCTCATTTTTATTTCAAACGATGATGAGTAACTAATCAACTACTCGCTTACCCACGCCTTCTAACCCTAATGAAAAATGAGTTGAATGGAAGAAAGAAAACGGTAATGGACTTGCCCACCTCCTTGGTAATTATAAGCACTGGATACCTTCACCTTTTCAGTACAGACCATAGGTAGTATTTAATTCAATTTTAAATTTTCCCGTCGATGAGCATCCTGCATTCAACTGCTAGTCACCATCCACCAATTAACTTCTAATTACTAGCACCTTTCCAAGTGATCGACTCTTACTAATCGATAATAATTTCAAACCTCACTTTACTCAGCGAGTTAGTATTGTTAGGCTTTCAAAAATGAATAGGAATCGGGGTGCGTAAAAAATATCGAAAATTTGATATGTTCTATATCAACTACAAAATACAACACTATAATAGAATTGCAACTGAAAGGAGCGAAGGGTTTTAAAAATGGATAAGGTATTTGATTATACCTAGTTCGACTTACTTTGGCATAAAGTAAACACTCTATGTCCATAGAGTCATTAAACTGAACAGATTTTATCAGTTGAATTAACATACTAATTTCTGGTTTAATATTGTTATTTACACGGGCAGGTGGACAGTTTTCCTCTGAGTGGTTGAGTGATTTGCGATTGATTTTCTCTTTCGACTTTTCCTTTCGTGATATGTTTTGTTTTTGTAGCTTGTCCACCTCTTCGTTAGCTCTGACAGATAATGATGGAAAATCATTTACAGATGAAGGAAGCCCATAACTAGAGTGAAGTGACCGATTAGAATCAGGAGCAACAACAACGGTTCGTATATGGGTGAACTGAGGTCGTTCCATGTACTATGAAAGAATTTAAATATCGTGAATTAATTTCAGTCAACTAATATCATACTTACAAATGAACTCTAACAGCAGTGATTACTTCAATTGCTTTAGAATTTATACTACCCCATCCCTTAAAAAAAATAAATACTTCCTTTAATAGCTTTAGTTGTTTCGAGTGCCGAAGAGATAACCAACTGATAACCACAAGGTGACCAACACACGCATATGTTTAGTCTATCCCACCACTATAGAACTGGAAAATAACCTTCGTGACTGAAAGATATCCTTAGAGAATACCTCATGTGTGACGGAACCACACAGTAATTCGAATTGAAGCTATATCTATGGAAGTCGTGAGTGTAACTCTCTAATAAACCGGTGGAGAAAGACTCCTTAAGAAAACTTATTTCAGCATTCGTTTGATAGAACTATACCCAGTGAAGATAAGGAATTAATCACGACTAGGAAAAACCAGAGATGTGTGCTATGTATTACATGTAATATAAGTTACTTGTTACTCTAGGCCTGAAGGAATAAATTATCTCCCATAATTCAATTATTTACAGATTCAAAATGATTCAAAGATGCTTTGTGTTTTCAAAATTTTCTTTTTCACCAACTTTTCGCTTCTTTCCCTAACATGTATGTAGTCTGCCTGACATGAACAGCTGAGTTGAAATACATCTCTTTAGTTCAACCACCACTTTTTGATTTTGACAGCATGAAATTGTGGAGAGTTATTCGATTATACAACTATCTAGACTGCATTGGTTTCACTGAGTTCTATCGAGAGAAAAAGTTGTATAATATGCAATACGCTAGATGAGGGGAATTTCATACGAATTTGAACAAAATTCTAGGAATAAAACAATAAATAGCTACCGCTAGACGGTGAAGAGTGTAACTTATTGACCTAGGCACTCAACTTCCGGCTCCACCTACTGCAATCCACACAACGGATTAGTATCACCAGACCGTACACAACATCTGTAGCTTTACAACCTGGTACATGAGAAATCTCTTCCGACTAACGTAATAATGAGTTTTCACTAAGCCTTTAGCAGAAATATAATAATATAACACAACCTTTGGTTAAACATCTACCGTAAAAATACTGACCAAGCAATGTATACAATATGTAAATTCCCAAAGTTATGATAAATCTTCAAAATATAATAACACCTCGACAACTAACAATATTACTATCATCTCTTAGTGTCATTCCGATAGCATCATCCGGACCATTATTTCTTCTCCTTGTATTTTTCTTAGCTTCAGATTTCTTTGAGGTGTGCAATTCAGCCCTTGTTACAGTTTGTTCCTTTGTATCATTTGACGATGTTTTTGAAGTCTTCGTTTTATTTTCCAAAACTGATGATTTATGCGCTATAACATTTGTGGTAGTTTTCGGATGATTGGAACTGTTAACTGGAAGAGCAGGAAAATCACACGATGTTGGAGTTTGAAATGATGGTGTTGACAACTTCAGTGGTTCTTCAGACACTGAATTATCTTTTCTCGGCCATGATGACGACGGAATGTTGGCTAAAAGTTTTAAACAATATCAAGATGTTACAATGAAAAACGTAAAATATATAGATTTCACGCAGAATAATACTTTTATTTTAATAATGATTTTTGTTTGTAAATTGAAACTTTCAACATGTTCATATTAGGAAAGGTTCCCAACTTTCCAAATAAAATTTACGAAAACAAACAAATGATCACAAAATCTACAATTCCTGCAAACTACTACTTAAGGGATAGTCACTTAACTAAGTAACTAAACGCTTTACTGCTCGGCACCATACACCATATTTTCTCTCGAATCTATTGGAAATGTGTAAAGCGACTAGATGGAATCATTTTAAAAATGTGTGAAAGTGAAAAAGGTACTACTGTGGTGAGAGTAGGCTGCTAGCCAATTGGTTGACATTAATCTACGTCAATGTCTAGGTCACTAATATGGGCCGTGAGAAAATATGAACAAGGCTGATTCAACAACCAATCACAGCAAACTTAAACGTGGGCAAATATGATTCGCAGATAGATGGCTCCACTTTCCGAAAAACTCGAAAACAACCAATCTCAAGACTGCGTTTGTCTACTTGACTAAGCTATAATAATGTATGTGAAATTTATATAAATACGTGTTGATTTTCGTAATATAACGATCTGTTGCCTGGCCCTTGTCTTCTGTTGTTACACTACTACTTCTGAACATCTTTGAATGATTAAGCCAGGATGAAAGAAGTATTTTGATAACTCAAAGCTTAAACACGTAGCACGTTATAAAGTAAGTTGCATTGTTGAGAATTAGTACAGCGTATAAACTGGAGTGGTCAGTTATTAACATAATACAAACTTTAGCTGAGCGAGGAAGGTACAAATACCACAATATTAAAGGGGCCATTGAATCGGGTCCCAGTGTCTGAATGGTATACAAGCTTGGCCTTGTAACCGGAAGGTCCTGGGTTCGAATCCCTGTAGGTGCGTACTGATGAAGAGTCCCAAACTAGGACGAAACAGTTTCCTAGTACTCCCAGGTTTTCCAGTGGTCAGCTCATGATGAAATCCTGTAACCAATCAAATCCCTACAAACCAACACTTGAAAGCATTTTCTATTTTTAACTGGTGAACCATGGTTATCTACTTATGTGAACAATTCATTAAAAAAAGTTAAAATATAAACAGAAGACACCAACCAGAGTTACGTGTAGATGATGCAAGAGTTGGGAAACTCGATAAGCTGACAGCGATACTTGATGTAACTTGGGGATTACACGGTAGTTGAGATGTATTATTCTTATTCACCCATGTAAGAGGATTACCTTAATAAATATTTAAAACAAATAAATTAAAACGCAGCAAATACAGATGTATTTCCTAGAACATCCAACAAGTACTTGTACTTTCATGCATTTAGCAATAAACATGAGTTGACGATACCAGCTAACTACTAAAGCATTCATAAGTGGACACAGGCGTTGGAAACCGTTACCTAGTGACTGGAAGTTGAGAGTTTAGACTGTAAACTGTACACGAAACGTTATCCAATTACTAACACTGTGTCACATCAGATTAACTTATCGAATATGAAATTATATTCTACTACAGTGGTAAACACTGATAACTTCGTGCATACAAAAAATAAGGCCTACTGAACTCTTGTTAAGTAGTTGGATAGAAAATTGTTTGTAAACACCTAATACTTGAATTAAATGATATATGGATTACTGAGATTAACTAGAGTGAACAGCTGGTCAACATTCCAAACCATTAATGGTTTTACAGAATCGCATCAATTTACGACAATTCTTTGTAATCAGGGCATCTCTCAGCTAACGTGCACTTCTCTTATTATACAGGAGTTGAAATCTTCAATATATATTACTCATATTACTACCACGCTAGTCAAAGTATGATTCCAAAGGAAATCCAAATTTATTAAACTAGATACTTTAAAACCATTATATAGCATTATCCATTTATCATAAAATACTTCATAATCAAACATGAAATTTGTAGAAGTAAGGTAAAATTATCTTCCATGAAAACTAGTGAATTCACAGTTGCTAAAAGTAACAAGTAGCTGGTGTCCTGACGACTTGATAGGATATGTACATTTTTTATCAGCACATAATCTCTACCAGTGCGTCAGTGGCGCATCGGTGGAATGCTCGCCAAATGCGCATGTGGTTCGAGTCCCGGCCGACGCAAAGATGGGTTGGGCATAAGACTAGCAAATCCATTCTGTAAAAATAAATGCCACTGCATCCAAAACTTCAAGTCTCTAGCTTGAAAACTTATGTTCCACTAGGAACGTAAAGAAATAAAAAAAATTACGTAAATTATTTGTAAAAGTTTCGGAGTGACGCTAAGCAACGAAACTATTTCATTTTTAAGCAAATTGGTATTGGGTCCAACTATGTCTAATCAAGAGTGAACAGCTAGCCGCATAATGTCTAATGGTGACATTTACAGCCGCTAAGTCATTATTTTTTATTTTCATAAACAGGTATCGAAAAAAATTTTCATCAAGATATGAGCAACACATTTTCGTTAAAAACAAATTCTAAAAATGACTAATACTTTTATTACTAGTAGAAGACTGCGGTGATTGAGTGAGACTTGGAAAATCCTCTGACGTCAGACGGTTCTTGTTGGTAAGATTGACACTAGCAACACGAGAAAGCCAACTTGTACCTCCTATCGACCGAGTATTTTGCATACTACTGGTATCACTCCCCTCTCGTTCCGTTAATGAAGCAGCTGACTCTCTAAGTCTTTGTACAGCAGTTTGGGGACTTCCTGACTCATTCGTCGCAGCTTGGGAGTTAAAGACTACTGGTCTGGTAGATTGTAATGACGGGAAATCTTCGCCTGTCCATTCAGAAGGATTAGGCCGCCGATAGGATATATTAGAATTGTCTTGTGAAATTAATCTGCCATCAGTTGTATCTGAAGTTACACAAATGAAGAACACTTTTCCGTCAGATATTGCCATCATTATTGCTAGTAGTTTGCTTAATATTACTTTAATTACGTGGACAGACTACTGCACACAAATTTCGGACTTATTATAGCACCTTAAAATAAAAAATATCTGCATGCCAAGATGAATACATGAATAATCAATAATATCCAGTTGGTTCTGAGGCCAGATGTAACTCAGCTAATCGTCAAAATCATTATATAACTTAGAGTAGTGCATGCTTCAGGTGAATTCCAACATTTGAAAAGATAGTAAATTTATCATTTTCCGTACAAACATCAGTTTCGCCAGTTGCCTATGGACTGTTAAATACACCTGAAATGATCATAGGTTCATAGTTTTACCAATATGAGTATACCTGAGTATGAACAGTTATAAACCTCCATTATGGCTACAGAAAAGTTGATAAAATCAGTGTTGTACAGTATCTTTACTGATGAAGCTCCGAACACAATAAATTGCTGCTTATAATCATATCAAGGTACTCACATAACTTTCTTCCTTCACTTATATAAATGAGTAAAAGTTGTTCATTAGATAGAAGAGAACACGAAGTTCAGCAAAGATATCTTTTCGGCGATTTCATCCTCAAAAGCTGTACACAATCGCATTTATATAGATTATTTTACATGGATACAATTATTATTTGTTTAATTTCACATAGTAACGAAGGTGATAATAATTTTCAACTTGATATGATAGTTTGAAGGTACGAATATAGATTACAAGAGACTTAGAGACAAGATTTCATAGGATTAGAAAATAGTTACAACGTATGCAAAAAAATTAATATTTGATAATTGGAGAAATAATTTTAAAGGCGAATCAAAGGTGATAATTATTTTCGACTTGATATGGATTACAAGAGGCTTAGAAACGCAGGGATAGAACGAACTACAGGTGTGAACAAAATGAGCATGGAAACAAATTGAAATCAAAATTTTCAACTTGAAATGTTAGTTAGGAGGTATGAATATAGATCACAAGAGGCATAGAAACAAAAAATTACCCAGGATTAGAATATAATTGTAAAATGATTATTCTAAACGGATTACAAGTGTGATCAGGAGGAGCATGGAAACAAAATTAAAATAACTAGTTTTATAACTGAAAAAATAATTTGAGCCTGAAATGAAAGTTAGGACGTGTGAATATAGATTACAAAAGCCTTAGAAACACAAAAATTGCACAGAATTAAGATATAATTGTAAAATAGTTATTTCAAACGAATTATAAATGTGAACAGGGAAAAGCATGGAAACAAACTTAAAATAACTGTTTTTATAACTGAGGAAAAAAATTAGGCTGATTAAACGAAGATTGAGGGACTAAGAATTAGGCACACAGCGAACGAGAAATGCTCTAGAGGAAAAAGCGAGAACGAAAACAGACGAGGAAGAGAGAAACAAGAAAAAAAGAAAGGCAACACTAAGAGTGACATTCTCTAGCCGTCCAATACTTCGAAACGACACGAAGGACAAACTTTCGCATATGACCAATTCAATGTGCATATACCAGTTCACTTGCTCGTGTAGAGCTAGGTACATAGGTCGTTGTATGCGCGTCCTCTCGAAACGTGTTAGAGAACACTACCCAGCGTGGCTGCAAAGAGGAGGCACCGGTTCAATCAGAAGTGCCATTATTGAACATCTGGTCAACACCTCCCACAAAATCTCAACCGATTCTTTCAAAGTGATTGACAAAGTCAACAGAAACCTACCAAGAGCAATATGTTTCCGACTTCTTTGTACTGCAGAAGCCCTCGCAATATGCATCGAGAAGCCGGAGCTGTGTGTTCAAAAGAAATTAGTCCAACCTCTACAACTACCATGGACCTAGCTTGGTATGTTCCCTTTGCTTCCGTTTTTTTCTCTTCCTCGTCTTTTTTCGTTCTCGCCTTTTCCTCTAGAGCATTTCTCGTTCGCTGTGTGCCTAATTCTTAGTCCCTCAATCTTCGTTTAATCCACCTAATTTTTTTCCTCAGTTATAAAAACAGTTATTTTAAGTTTGTTTCCATGCTCCTCCTGATCACACTTGTAATCCGTTTAGAATAATCATTTTACAATTATATTCTAATCCTGGGTAATTTTTTGTTTCTATGCCTCTTGTGATCTATATTCATACCTCCTAACTAACATTTCAAGTTGAAAATTTTGATTTCAATTTGTTTCCATGCTCATTTTGTTCACACCTGTAGTTCGTTCTATCCCTGCGTTTCTAAGCCTCTTGTAATCCATATCAAGTCGAAAATAATTATCACCTTTGATTCGCCTTTAAAATTATTTCTCCAATTATCAAATATTAATTTTTTTGCATACGTTGTAACTATTTTCTAATCCTATGAAATCTTGTCTCTAAGTCTCTTGTAATCTATATTCGTACCTTCAAACTATCATATCAAGTTGAAAATTATTATCACCTTCGTTACTATGTGAAATTAAACAAATAATAATTGTATCCATGTAAAATAATCTATATAAATGCGATTGTGTACAGCTTTTGAGGATGAAATCGCCGAAAAGATATCTTTGCTGAACTTCGTGTTCTCTTCTTTCTAATGTCCATATGGGTATTTTCCACGAACTTAAAGATTGTTTAGACATTTTAATAAAATTAACAATCAATCATCAGTAAATATTAATGTGTAACACTGATTTTATCAAGAAATTTTATCTATAACAAAGTTATGCCCTATCACAGTGCCCAAGTATTATCCTTATATCAATAGTTTTAAACCTGACTGATTGGCTGGTTTCGACACTAAAATCAGCAAAAAAGTGAAGCAGTTCAAGTTGCAACACTACATGCAGCACACAAAGCAAGAAAAGAGAGAAAACAAGAGATTCCAAAGAATGATAATAAACACAAATGTGAGGGATATGGAATAGTAATATGGAAAAACAATAGGGTTTTAGTGGACATGGCAGATCACAAAATGTGAATGCATCTGCACCAGCCGTTGACAACGATTTCCAGCCACCACCTCACCAATTGCCGCTAACCATTGGCCGTGCTTAGAATCCTGACGATCCCGACAAAGCAGTCTATATCTACCTACGTAGCCCAAACTAACCGTTATGCATTTCATCGACTGATGACATCTTTTGCTTTGACCACGACCGGCTCTTTTCCAACCCGATCCCACATCACCCAAGGTTGCTTGTCACGGGAGGCCAGCGATAGTTTATCACTGTATGGTCTATTCTAGTCCATCGGTGTTTTCATGAGGGAGGTCGCCAGGTAACAACCCTCTTTGTGTTTCAAGTTAGTGCTGACAAGGGAAAGGTGATTATCCAAACAGAACTGTAGAAGACGATCACCGCTACCGGTCCGTCGGCAGGTAACTCCATAGGTACCACCAACATACTTCTCAGAGTGACACAACTCCTCATCGACTGCATTCAAATTGCCTCCTAAAACAATTATATCCACGCGTTCTGCTTTTCGCAAAAAGCCAGACAGTTTTTGGCAGAACTCATCCTTCACTTCCACCTAAATGTAATCAGTTGGGGGAGCTAACGGAAATTACGAAAAGACATCGACGGGTAAAGCATTCCTTCCTTCTTCTAACGGATCCGTTCAGACAGATGGCGCATATACAACTATCTTCTGGGATCCAATCGAGTAGAAATTTTCTGACCAAGCACTCAATGCAATATCTACACTTGAAACTCCTCGCCAACAAGCCGAAGAATCTCTCCTGACATCCGTAAGGTGAATTTTGTAGATTCACACAGTTGACCACGTGGGGTTAAGTGGATGACAGCAATGGGATATTGTATCTGTGTCTCCGAAACACAAAAAACGTTCAAAATTAGATATCCCAGAATTCTGACTAGTGATGCATGTTGTCCAATCTGGCAAGGCGTCCTGATGTTGTATGCCCCAACATGAGGTTAGCACCGTGGCTTTAAGAAACTATCGAGGGTGCTTTTCCGGCTCTCGTCACTATTAGTGGCCACACAATGAAGATGGGGAACTAGTCTGTAGAACAGTAATAACGGTAGGAGGAAAGCAAGATGACGTGACGTAGATAAAGGTGGGCGATGATCACGAAGGTTTCTTGAAGTGTGTGGGCGGTTGTTATCTCCCGATTGCTCATACCATGGAAGTTGATCTTCCCTTGGGGTGCCTGAAACAGAAAGAGAATCAGTGCTGTGTGACCGCACAGACTAGAAGACAACTGCTTAAGGCCAGTCACACACGGCCATATTTAGAACTTACCGGTGGACACAGACCACTGTAGATTAAGTGTACAATGTTCGAAGTCGACTTTTTTTAATCCTTTCGACGGAGTGGAGAGGCAGGACAGGTCCCATGCTGGTCATGTGAGGTAAACACCTTAGTTTCCGTTCCCCAACATAGGGTGAACATCTTACACTATGCTGCTAACTGCTTTTGGTCTAGTCGCTATCCTAGGAACCTTTCTGGCATGATAGGACCTGTGGGAACCTTAGTTCCAGCCGGTATAGCTTACTGGGTCATTGTGATAAACAAGCCGACCATCAACGTCAAGATAGCAAATATCGGTCGAGGTAATCAACCAAGAATAGTATTAAGCTCCGGTGAGCACCGGAAATGGGCAACAAAAAGTAATGTAACAACAGGGAATAGGAAGCAATGGACTGGAAGATCCAGCCATACTTATTAATTTCGTGTAAAGGAGAGTTTATTGTTGCTTATTACTCTAGTGACTAGAGATACACAGAGATCACAATATTTCAGCCATTGATTTCGATTCTGAATAAAATCTGATAACATCTTGAGTAACTAACCTCCATGGTTCTTTAGATTTCCTCAAGAGTCGAAACGCATAGACAGATTTCAACGAAGCGCAACTATCTTTCATCCTATGGCTCCATGTTATTCACTGACCATCGCTCTGCATTCTCCAACCAGCCCTAGGAATGATGAATAGTTGTCGCTGGAGTCCCATTCGCAGTACATATCTAAGCTACTTATCCTAGTTTCCCATAATGACATCGATTAAAAGTCCATCTCCATTCTGTTCAAACACGTGCCGTAGGATCTAAAATTCATTGGTATACCATCGCCACTGGATACAAACAATTCACAAGAGAGAAACTAAGAGACACACACATCCTCAGCTTGAAGATACCAAGTTTAACAGAGGCGGGTGGCAACTGTAGGTATTCAAGCATTGTAGGCCCGACCTTTGGAGACCTGAATAGTATCACAAGGCAAAATATGGTCCAGATTAATGTATACAGATCTGACCTTCCCAACATGATTGTAAATTGCATCCACAGCCCGTACCACCTAAACAAACTTTTTAACTCTTCATCTGAAAGACTAAATGCGATTACAAAATCCTCCCAATGTTGAAGAGGCATTTTGCACAGAGATGCACACACAATACTTACATGCACTATCCACCAATTAATTAAGAAGAGTGAACACGTGCATTTAGTGTAACAAATACAGGAGTTTAATTTGGATCTGTCCTGTTTCGTATTCATTAGGAAACGAATTTCAAAACACGAAGTATTACTAACTAAATTACTACCACTAAATTTAAACTTCTTTTATTTACTTTGACGCTGAGAGATGACTAAACAGCAAGCACAGGTAGAGCTTATAAAGTAAAATGGATGGATCTACCAATCCCTAAAAATCAATATTTTAATAAAGCCACAAAATAGGGGCAACTTATTACCAATACACTGTATCTTATTCAAAACAGCAAACAACTGCGCACTGTCAGACATCACTGTGTATTTAGAATAAAGAGCTGATATGTATGCTGATTTGTATATCGTAAACTTAGGTGCAATGACAGAAATGCCTTGATCTCTGTTACACAAAAATGTACAAATCAATTTATTTACAAACCAACAGTGTAACCACCTTACTAGCTTTTTGGTGGCTAGAAGTGGAACCTGGTACAAGTTTTCCATCTACTTTGCGACTAGCCATTTAGGCCTCTCTACATCCCAATAACCGACAATAGTCCAGTGGTTTAGCAGCTGGGATGAAGACACATCAAGTAGACTTTAAAAAGGACGGAACAAAAAATATGGTTACCACTGCTAAGGAGCACTAAACAAACAGACGTGTTTATTTAAAGCGAAATCAAACAGCCTACATATCAAAATGTGAATGACCAAGTCTGTTTACAAAAATCAACGAGCTCACTTATTCACAACTAATCTTTCATGCCCCATGTGAGCCACACTAATTGGGCGAGGGCTGGTGATACAAACCAGTCACTGAAGCTGAAGTACGGTTAACCAAAAATCGAGTGCTAACACCAATGAGCTACGTCACCGTTGAGAAATCGTCAGTACACGAAACTCCATCTGATCTTATGAGACAAAACGTCCAAGCTAAAAATTTCATGATAAAAGTGCATCAGTAAACCACCCTACAGCAAAAGGAATTACGAGAAATTTTTCAGATTCATACTGTAAATGCCTATCCTTTTTACATTAACTTCGAACTGTTGGGCTTTTTTACCGACATAATAGGCCGTGGTCGGATAAAAATCCTGAGCCAAGCCTAAAGTGAGAATTGAAATAATTATCCCTCACACTTAAACACCACACTGCTTCCTGCCATTCTCATAAAAATAAGACATACCAAGAACACCCCCCACACTATTAACATCTGGATGCATCTGGTCTCGTCTTCGGAAGGCAGAATCAGCTGTCGTTACGTGTCTTATAGAAATCGGAAGCCAAGGGTTCGGGTCGTTAGCCACTTCATTTGGATGCTCTTGAAAACGATGCAAACCCAAACGGTCTGCAGTTGCAAAACAGGAAATTCGTTGCTGAGCCCGACATTCAGTACACAGATGATGCGAATCACCGTAATGATCCAATAATTCACATTGTTCTCTAAACACAGTAATAAGAATCATAATTGCATGAAGAAAAACCATATGCTAAGGATTAAAATACCATATGTAACTCTTTCTGTTCAGCGAATTACAAACATACATGAGAAAGCACGTAGGACGACATATCTACTTGAAAAACTGTATTGGGATACAATAAAGACTTGTAGTAAAAATCCCATAACAAATGTATGAAAAGGAACTATTTGCAACACATTTCAACAAATAGTATTATAACTTACAGCTCCTTACATTAACACTACATCGCATGCATGATCTGGATTACTATTCTTCAGCATAACTGTACAAATAAGATATTCGTGTGACTTCAGTATCTAATCACAACTACTTCAAAAGATTGCTATCAGTATAGCAACCAAACCCAATGACATGAGTGAAACGGATTTGTTAACAACAAAACCCCTCCAAAAAGTGGTTAAAATAATTCGAAATGCTGAATAATTAGCCAACTATAGTTAGCACTACAATGACGAACTGTCTCTAATCTAACAGACAGAAAACGCTTTCAAAAGGAAGCGACACACAATACTATGTATAGATGTAAGTTCTCATTATTTGACAGCCAACCAATCAACGTTAGGGAGAAAAGTCAATTAAAAGAACATTAAGTTTACGATAATACCGGAGTGCAATTATGTCACATATCCTCTAAAAGTGACCAAGTTACCCCTTTTTATGCTGACACGAAGCATGCTTTTAATCTGCTGTGACTAAAGGTCAATAACTTCATGAAACCATCTTCTTTTTCGGAGCCATTTATGCATAAATCACCATCAGAACACACTCAACACATGCTCATGTAAACCTAACATGCGTGCCTCTATAGACTGATTGGCTGAATTACTACTTTTCTTCGATGCTTCATGTTCATTTTGGTTGTTAGTCATAACTTTAACAAGCATACCAAGCTGTAGTGACCAGTGAGCGAAAACGAATACGAGCGAATTTACAAGATCTGGAAATTAATCAATTACCTGAAGACCACAAACTTTCCTGTAGCCATACAAAGGTCGCACAGGAAATGCAGATCGCGTATGTGATGTATCAAGTCTTCCATCTCATAAAAACGTTCCTGACAGAAATCACACAACGGATGACCCTTCTTCTTAGTTTTGTCCCATGACCTGTGCTTTATAAGATCGGCTGGTTTCATTAGGGTGAATTCACATGGCAAAAGCTAAATCAGTTAGTGAATTACATGTGAAAATACCCTGGCGTATCGGATACATAGATCACAGTAAGAAAGATGGTGCTCTGCTGTCGTGTGTCTATTCAGTGCTGAAAGAGACTTCTTTTCCTCGCCACATATTGGGCAAACTGATTTCAGCATGTTTGAATAGTAATGCTCTATGTTCACATCAGGAAACATAAAATCAAATCTGGAATCATGCCGGAGCACAGAAACATCTATTCTATCAAAGGGGACGAATTTCCGCATGATGACTACCTGTCAGATGATAAGGAATGAGATCTACAATCACTTACCCTGTTGATATTTTGTCTGCAAGTGGGGCACTTAGAAAACTCAGGCTCGTCTGCACTACCAAACTTCCGAAGTTTGAGAACACATTTTGTGCACGTAGGGTGATTGCATGAGCCGTACGCGTAGTAATCAATATCCTCATGGCAGACGGAACACAGCTTACTAACAGACTCAACAACTTCGGGTGTCATTCGAAAAATCCACGCGGGGTAGAGACAACCAAATCAGCCGCTGTGACACTGCATTGAACCAAATCTTCGAAGTGAATACAAGACTGGCAAGACAAGACTGGCATGACAAGACTGGCTCCCCACCTACTTTCACCAATGATGTTCTTAATTGTGGCGGACTGGATTATGCGTCAAACTGTTGGGAGCCAGGAGACTGGAATATTTTGCACTGACCAATAAGGAGACTCTAGAAGATTTAGATTTCTCAGATGATGTATGCCTAATGTCACACAAACCCGATGACTAGCAAGCGAAAACCAACAAACCGGCTGAAGAGGCAGCGAAGACAGGACCTCCAGTGAACATAGTGATGAAGATAACCAACGAACCACAACAACAACAACTAGACACCATCAACAGGAGAGATTTAATAGAGTTTGCTTTGTGGAGTCCTCAAAAATAAACTTATCCAAATTTTACTACTATGTAAATAATGAACATATTGTACACTACTTTGTTTTAACCATAAACTCTGTACTTTGACTTTACCTCGGGTTTTGAATAAATATATAGTTGTGCCTTCGACTCTCCGTCTTCTCCACCATCTCAACTGCCGTCGATCAATCCTAATCACCTGCTTTCTATCTCTGATTTTTGCAGGAGCACCGTAGTTTCTTCCTACGTACTTTGGTCGACCTCCGGCAACGTTAACATTGGAGAATTACTACTGGAGCAGTCTTTCCGCAGCACCTGGAGTCTATTACGTTTATTGTGGACTGTGGACCTTTGTAAACTCAAGTAATCAAACTTTAATACATTCTTCCCGTAACTAAACTCATTTGGTATTTTATTTTCTACTTGAATTTGGGTAACTAAGCTAATAGAGTGAAAAGGTCCACCACAATAATTGGTGAGCCCGTTTCGAACCCTTTTTTTATGGTTAACCCGTTTTCGAACCTTTTTGTTTCGATAGTTACCTCGTTTTGAACATTTTTGTTGCTATTTTGTCCTTATAAACTCGCACTGCTTTAATTTTTGTTACCACAAGTTTTTCTATTTTGTATATCTATATACTTACATATTATATGACAATGGCTCCACCTAAACGTACCACTGTTGCTGAAGAAGGTAATAAAGGCGAAGAGACACAGAACTCTGCTGTTAACGCCTTGCCGGATTTAAGACTACCTCAATTTGATCTGGCTGAACCACGTGTCTGGTTCACAATTATTGAACAGTTGTTTGCAGCTCGAGGTATTACGTCGCAGATCGCCATGTATGGTTGCGTATTAGCAGCAATTCCCACGGAAGTACTACGAGAGGTTATCGATGTCATAGACAGCAAACCTACAGACTCTCAATATGACAAACTAAAAGCTGCACTCATCCAGCGGACCACTCTCTCCGATGAGAAACGCATACAACAACTACTTACTTCGTGTGATCTAGGTACAAAAAAGCCATCTCAACTACTTAGACATATGCGCCAGTTGATTGGGTCACACAAAGTAGATGAGTTAATTCTACGTCAGATGTTCTTACAACGTTTACCACAAAATGTTCAACAAATCCTAACAATATCTTCTAGGACGACAGACCTTGAAGAATTAGCTAAAATGGCAGACGATATCATGGATGTGTTATCAAATAATGGCATAAATAGCGTGTCTACCGAGGCAGTACCACCAAGCCCTTCCACATCTATGAAGGACGCACCAATGTTTTGGTTACTTTCCCAGTTAACATCTCAAATGCAAGATTTACGACTGGAAGTGTCCGAGCTTCGAGCACAAAGGAACCAGTCACATACGGTATCCAAGCAACGGCGATCAAGATCTAGACGACGTTCTAGAACACCGTCTCAAAGCCGTAACATTTGTTGGTATCATAGGAGGTATGGGCATAATGCCCTGAAGTGTATTCGACCGTGTATGTACAACAGTAGTAACTCATCTCAGGGAAACTCCCCAGCCAGACAGTAATGGCGACGGCTGTTAATGGCAATCACCCCAGTCGCCTTTTCTATGTGAGGGATTTGACTACCGGCACATTATTCTTGGTAGATACAGGCGCCGAGGTCAGTGTTATTCCCCCCTCACTATCCAGGCGATCAGCCAAAATACCTGGAAAACTTTCACTTCGTGCTGCCAACCAAACCAACATACAGACGTATGGCGAACAGTCAATGATTTTAAATTTAGGACTACGCCGACGTTTCACATGGATCTTCATAGTAGCTGACGTACGTCACGCTATACTAGGTGCAGACTTCCTAAGTCACTTCAATCTGTTAGTTGATATCAGCAAGAAAAAACTGGTTGACAATTGCACCCAACTCAAGATCCATGGTATTACATGTGACTACTCGGTTCATAGCATCTGTATAGAAAAGCCGGAGAGTGAAATGTTCTCTGCTTTATTGAAACGATTTCCTAAAATCCTTAAACCATCATACAACGTTGAAGATATATCTCATACAGTTACGCATAAGATCATCACAACAGGACAACCTGTGAAGGCACGTCCACGACGGTTACCACCCGATAAACTAGCAGCAGCTAAGTCGGAATTTGAACATATGATGCAGCTAGGTATCATACGACCATCTAACAGCCCATGGTCTTCACCTCTGCACATGGTACCTAAAACTAATCATGACTGGCGACCATGTGGAGATTATCGCGCTTTGAATAACGCTACGGTCCCAGATCGTTATCCTATACCTCATCTCCACGACTTCTCCTTGACCTTACATGGAAAGACCGTTTTTACCAAAGTTGACTTGGTCAGGGCATATCATCAAATACCAGTCGCTCCAGAAGACATTGCAAAAACAGCAATTATCACGCCTTTTGGATTATTCGAATTCTTGAGAATGCCTTTCGGACTAAAGAATGCTGCTCAAACATTTCAGCGTTTTATGGACCAAGTTACCCAAGGTCTTGATTTCGTCTTTGTATATATCGACGATGTCTTAATTGCCAGCTCATCGATGGAAGAACATATGCAACACTTAAGCCTGTTATTTCAAAGGTTTGAACAATTTGGAGTTGTTATCAATCCAAAGAAATGTATTTTTGGTTCCCCTTCCATTGAATTCTTAGGACATCGAATAACTGCCGAAGGCATCAGACCTACCGAAGATAAGATAAAAACTATTAAGAACTTTCCCGAACCTGATTCCTTAAAGAAACTTAGACGTTTTCTCGGGATGTTCAACTTCTACCGACGTTTTATTCCATCATGTGCCTCCATAGTTCAGCCACTGACCGACCTACTTAGATGCAATTCGAAGAAATTTCAGTGGTCTGAAGAAGCAAAAGCAGCATTTAATAATGCAAAAGATGCCTTATCCAACGTTGTAATGTTATCTCATATCAACCCAGAAGCTTCACTCATTTTATGTACAGATGCATCGCAGGTAGCAGTGGGAGCAGTTTTACAACAAAAGTTCAATAATGACATCACTCCACTTGCTTTCTTCTCCAAGAAGTTGGAACCTGCGCAAACTCGTTACAGTACCTTTGGCAGAGAACTGTTAGCCATCTACCTAGCAGTGAAACATTTCAGCTTCTTACTACAAGGTCGACATTTTACTATCTTAACCGACCATAAGCCTCTTTGTTATGCTTTCACCACTTCGTTGGACAGACACTCTCCGAGAGAAGCCAGACAACTGGATTACATCTCACAATTCTCAACAGACATCCAGTTCATCAAAGGAGATTCTAATATCGTAGCCGATTCTTTGTCTCGATGTGACGTTAATCACCTATCTTCGATAGATATTAGCTTAGACAATATTGCCAAGCTGCAGAAAAATGACGCCGAACTCCATACTTGTAGACGAAACTCCTCCCTACAGTTGCAGGATGTACCTATTCCCCTGTCTGATACAACTATCGTCTGCGACGTTTCAACGGGCGTTCATAGACCTTTTGTTCCACTAAGTTGTCGAAAACCTTTGTTTGAACATCTACATTCATTGTCTCATCCTGGAGTGCGTGCTACAGTCAAGTTGATCAGCGAGCGTTTTGTTTGGCCCAAGATGAACTCCGATATTCGGAAATGGGCCCGCCAATGCTTGCAATGTCAAAGATCCAAGGTACATCATCACACCGTCACACCTCCAAAACAGTTCAATTTACCGATAAACGATTTCAACACGTTCATATAGATGTTGTTGGACCATTACCGCCATCCAGAGGATTTACTCATATACTTACTGCGATTGATCGATTTACCCGATGGGCTATTGCTTGTCCACTCAACGATATATCTGCAGAAAATATCGCTTTGGTTTTCTTAGATCGCTGGGTGTCAAACTATGGAGTACCCACAACTATTACAACAGATCGAGGAGCTCAATTTCAATCAACTCTGTTTCGAGAGTTTACGAGACTCCTTGGAGTGAACCATATCTCCACTACAGCTTATCATCCTGCAGCGAATGGTCTGGTGGAACGTTTCCATCGACAACTGAAAAGCTCGCTTATGGCACAAGCTGACTCATCTAAGTGGAGTGAACACCTACCATTAGTTCTTCTCAGTATCCGATCAACTGTAAAAGAAGATTTGGGATGTACACCAGCTCAACTTGTGTATGGTACTACCCTCACATTGCCTGGTCAGTTAGTTCCGTCTAATGATTCAACTGAAGTAAATATCTCCGACTTCACCAACCGCCTTACCCAGCATATGCTTCAGCTTAGACCAGTAGCCCCTCGCCAATCACTTCAGAAAGCTCAAGTAAATAAGAACCTACTCACTAGCAAATTTGTATTTGTTCGCGTCGATGCCATTAGAAAAGGTCTACAACATCCATATGAAGGTCCTTTTCTAGTACTTAAACGCACCGAAAAATACTTCACGCTGAACAAACATGGTAAACCGGAGACTGTTTCTATCGACCGTCTTAAACCAGCGTACACCGACAGCGAACATGAAACACTAGCAACGCCGACACCAATAAACAATCAGCAAGTCAATGCAACTCCAACTCTCCCGCTCTTCACTCTTCCCCCTGTACAGACACGCAGTGGGCGGCAGATCTGTAAACCTGCCCGCT